GAAAAATACAAATAAAAGCAGTCATATATTAACATTACCATAATGTCGCCAACATTGACTTCAAAAACCGAAATTTGTTGCTCTTTACCATCTCGAATAAGCTAAGAATTAACAATAAAAGTTATTACAGAGTACTAAAAGTAAAGATTTTAATTCAATGAAATCACCTTGATATTACGATCATCCTTTTTATCGTTAAGTTTTCTAAATTGGCTTTCCTTTTGATAGTCATTTATCGCGTTCGTAAGAACTACAACAGCAACAGCAACAAGGATTGCAGTGCCTAAAAAAGTAGGGCAAATTTAAAATCTATATAACAAACAGTATAAAGATAACAAAAAACATTCATTTACCTTCAATCCAACCAAGATGTGGTTCATCAGAAGACTTCGATAAATCTTCACTAATACCGAGAGCAAGAGAAATAAAAGCAGCAATACTTAATAAAACTAATTATAAAGAAAATAGTAATCATTGTCAGAATAATGGAAAAGACGGAAATATTTAAAAATAAATAAGCTTAAATATTACTTAGGGTTTTATCACAATAAGCGTCCCAAACCAGGGAGAGAAATGATTGCTGATCGACTTTTGGTAAAACCTAAGATTTAAATATTAATCGATGGGAGGCATTGATAGTAGTAATACGTTCGATTATAATAAAAAATACATTTTTTCCAAAATGCTTTCGTCTTTCTTGAAAGGATATATCTTCTTGATCGACTCTTAGACCAGAATCACGATCGACCCTCAAACCATCAAGAATTTTGTCAGTACCACCATAATCTTGAAGCAAATCTAAATTTTTTGGATCAACAAGTTTCTGCAGCTGTTCAACGTTAAAAGCAAATGGGCCAGCATTACGCGTTTCTTCATTAATGAGAGGTTGATTCTCTAGAGACTCGCGAGGAGGCATTTCGTAAAACAGACAACTCTTAACTGCATGTGTAAACGCCAAATAGAAAAGAATTATCTAAATTGTTTTTACGTTTGAACACTAGACACGAAGACTATAATGCAATGTGAACTATGGAGCTGAACACCTTTTAAATTTGTTTCCCTTAAACGAAGGAATTGGAAACACAAACTTTGACTATAATAGAAAGTTATATTTGAGTACAAAAGAAATTCGTTACCTTTTAGAAGTAAATAAATTTAGAGTATTTGAGCTTAATAAAAACTTTTAAACTCAAAGTCTGCTTTACTCGAATTTGCATCGTATATAGTCTTTAAATAGAATTTCATTAAAAGTAACTTAGTTAACTGTAAATGCATAATAATTGTTTACGTATGTACGATCATCGGATAATATATTACATACCAAAAAAATTTTAATATTGCCAAAAAAAATATATATATTGACAGGTTAATTGCAACCTTCGGCGTTTGAAATCTGATCAGATAAATATTATATACGTAATAATATCACATATAATTTATCTCCGAACCTTTTTTGTCCCTTTTTTAAAAATTAAACATATGTACATAAATAAAAAGAGACTTTCGGTAATTTTTAATGCTTATGTACAATTTCCCGAAAGTTAACTTTACGATAAAATTTTCCTATAGACCGATATGTATTTTGAATGAATTTATTTTAGTATAGGTAATAACTATATACATATATATATATTATATACATACATTTTATTAATAATTTCACCTATATCAATGCAAATGCATCTGGAACTAAGATATAATAAGTTAAAAATTGCATAGTACGTATGTATTTCTAGAATTCTACGTATCGTGTGTACGTTTAACAGATCCATTACTGTACTGTACTATATACTTTACTATACATGTACTCATATTTTGGCGTTTTTCGTATGTTTGTCCTAGTCTGTCTTGCCATACGGTACTACTTTATACGTATTTATTCAATGCCTCACTATTAAACAGCTTATAAAATAAAACAATTATGGTATTTTTACGTGATAAAATTATTGATCTATTTCATAAGCTGTAATAGTAAACTCATCGAATGACTACGTGTATA